CACAACCCTTATAATTTAAGGGTGCAACGGACATATCGTTGAACGCAGAGTTCGACTATAAAGCTGCCCGTTTTGGGACTTATGCGTTTCAATAAAACTCTTCGAGCGATGCTCATTTTATGAATAGGGCAGAGCCCATGGACCTTAGTCTCGCTGAGAGAAACGAAGAGGCTGAGCTCTGTGCTGTCGAACAGCATTCGAACATCCATAGATATTTTACGTGCGGAAGCATCAAACAGCTTCACCTTAATTGTCTTTTGAGAATGACCGAGGCTCATTCAAGCCTACATTTTGTTGCTAATCAACAATCTGGTAAGGCGCAGAAAAACATCGAGTCCCAGTAGACGCGAAGCGCCCAGCTGAAGAGGATTTTGGCTTTGCTGTATCTCTCAGAGTTGAAGGAGAGCAGGGCCTAGCCCCAAGTGAATTCGTGCACGATGTCACAAAGCAGGCAAACAAGCCAGGCTTGTTAGTTGCGAAAGAAACGATAAATGGCTTTGGTAAGCCATCGTCGATATTGATCGACTCCTGGGCGTCGAGAAATTACGTCCGACGTTGTTATCTGGAAGGTAGTTAGCAGTATACTGAGGCGCTGAAAGCGCAAAATAATGAGAATAATAATGTTCGCTTGGCGACGGGGGCATTAGTTACTGTGCTTAAAGTTCTTGTGAACTTAGGCGTGAAGTTCTCGGACTTTGACAGTATCGAAAGCTGTCTAGTCCTTGACCTTGATGAGAGGTATGAACTTATCCTAGGTGTGACTTGGCAAGAACGCCATGAGCCATGGATTGATTAAAGTTCAAAGTTTTTAGGTGCAACGCGAAATGTCCGATTGAAGCTTTGTAGAGTGAAGAACCCACCTCTGATAGAATAAAGAAACGCGATTGGCGCGAGCCACAGACTGAGACAGTCAGTGCGCAGGACATCGGTATGTCTGAACTTGCTGAGTTGGACGATGTGAAAAACTCTAGTTACGAGAAAACCCTAATGACTGTTAGTAAAACGACACGTACTCCGTCTAGTGATAATCGTTGTGATAACGAATCACTGAATGATGAATGCATTGTTGGCCTAGAGCCAAGTCATTTAGGTTTACCCATCTGGTAAACGTGGAGTGGCACGTAAGTACCCACTGAGTGATGTTGGCCGTAATTTGGATACACCGGATGTCAGTCAATACATTATTGGTGTAACATTAATTCATCTAGGGTAACGTCTATCTAATGAACGTATATTGGCACGTAAGTACCCACTGGGTGGTGAGCTCACCCACCGGAAGTGAATCATCACCAGATGTCGGTAATGACATCTGATCGGAAATAGATCAAATTGAGGTTGACGCAGTTCGTCACCTTGGGGAAAGTGAAATCCCAGATGTCGGCAATGACATCGGTTCTGTCCCTAATGTTGGGCAAATTAAGGTTTTTGCTGTTCGTCACTTTGTAGACAGTGTCGTTCAAGATATCGGTCATGACATCGGCCCTAATGTTGGGCAAACTAAGGTTGACGCAGTTCGTCTATAGTCCCAAATGTCGTTAATGCATCGACCCTGATGTTGGTCTACTTAACGTTGACGCAGGTCATCATGTTAGGGGCGATATAGTCCCAATTGTCGGAAATGCATCGACCCTGATATAGAGAAACTTTAGGTTGACGGCCATGTCAACCTTGAGTATACTGATGTCTTGGGTGTCGGTAATGACATCGGCTCTGGTAATAAACACGTTAAGGTTAATGTTCATGTCAATTTGGGGACGTTGATGTACCGGGTGTCGGTAATGGCACCGTCTTTCGTACAGAGCAAGTTAAGGATAATGAGGATATCAACCTTGAAAACGAGAAAGTTCCAGTCTCTTTGAGACATTCAGTATTGTCACAAGACGTCAGCGCCGCCAGAGTGATCTTGTGCAACGCAAGACGTCTGTTGCATCACTAAGTGATAGCAGCGAGCAGCTATATACACTCGTGAATGGAGTGACTGGGGACGTTGATGGGTCAGTGAGTCTTGAGAATCTACCCTACCTGAATACTCTGTTAAAGATAGGTGAAATGTCTGTCGATGAGTTTGGCCTAACCTTAAAGTTGGGTGACTCATCTGAAGTGGTGGTCAAATTCGATCTTATATTGAGTACAACTCGACGTCACTTCTTGACGAGGCTATCTTGGAAGACACGAAGGCAGCACTGAGTGCTCGAAGTGGGTCGTTGATCTTGAAAAATCCTAAGAACCCGTTTATTCTTTGGTTAAAGGGTTTCCGGATGTGTTGTGTCAAGATCCACCTTCCACTCTGCCTCCTGATCGAGGCGTACGTCATGCAATTGACCTGGTTCCTGGAACCAAGTACTGTGTGACCGGCGATGGACCCTACCAAAGGTGTAGTGTGACGTCATTGACGATTTTTTTCGTGCAAAGTACGCGGCTGGTTTGGTGCGTGAGAACAAGTCTCCGCACTCGACATAGACCTTTTGTTTCAGAAAGCCGAATGGCAAGTGGCGCATTGTACATGCTTCAATAACCTTAACGCGGCCACTGTAGCGGTACAGACGCCTATTTCTGGAAAAGAATTTCTTAGAACGCTATGGTAGGTTGCACCATGCTCAGTGCACTCGACTCGGTCGATGGGTATCATCAATTGCTCATGCAAGCGAGCGAAATATCGCTCACAGCGGTTAGGACTCCAAGCGGTATGCTTTGGGAGGGGTCTGTCATGCCTCAAGGGCTGTCTAATGCCCTGACTACATTCAGTCGTCTTGTGACGCAATTATTCCGAACTCACCGAGGATATACACAAAGCTATTTTTTTTGATGACACCTTTGTCTATAGCCGTGACGCCATGGCAGCTCAGATATGGACAATAAAATTGACCATGTACGAGCATTGCTCAAGTGAAAGCGCACGAACAAGCTGTATGCAAATGCATCGAAATGCATTTTCAATGCGAAATGAATTTCCTTTCTCAGGTGATTAGTTGGATAGCATGGCCTTCAAGCGGATCCTGCTAAGGTAAAGTCAATTGTTGACTGGTCGGTTCCGTAGAACCAAAACGACTTGCGTTAATGGCTCAGCTTTGCTAATTACTTGCTCAAGTACAGTGCAAACTACGCTGACATGGCAAGGCCATTAATCGATCTCCTCAATAAGGATGCAGTTTAATGTTGGGCGCAGTCCATGCATAAGCTTTTTAAGCTATAATAAACAGTCTCCTTCATGCTCCAATTTTGGCTCCGCCTGAACCCGAGTGGCCTTTTAGTGTCGTGTGTGACGCATCTGTTTTTGCATTGGTTGTGCATTATTGCAGACAGATGTCGATGGACATAAGCGAGTCATTGCGTATGAATCTCGTCAGCTCAAGGATGCAGAGATGAACTGTCCATTTGACGACAAGGAGTTACTCGCTATGAAGTATGCTCTAGTCAGGTTTAGAGATCACCTACTTGGCTCAAAGCCTTTTGTGATCTTGATAGATCATGCGTCATTACGCATTGCGACACATTCGCCTCACCTCTCACAGCATATGGCCCGATGGCTTTCTTTCTATGCTGAATATAACTTTAAGATGAAGTATAAGCCGGGCAAGCAAAACGCTTTGGATGATACGTTGCCACGCAGACCTGATTATGAGCTTGCTCATGTTACGACTCCGTCGTCATCTATTGTGGATTTAACTCGTGCGGCATATGCACGTGATGGGCAATATGTAGCATTGCTACATGCTCTTGGAAGCGAGGACTTTCAAGACTCGGACACCAAATTGTCGGCACGTTTACGTGCGAGTCTACATCGATATGTCGTCTGTGGTGGATTGTTGTGCCATTGCACGGTGTTGATGGTGTGACTCGCCTCGTTGTTCCTCATGATGAGGGGTTGAAGAATTGAATTCTCTTTGAGGCACGTGATACTGCTTTGAGCGGTCATCTTGGTTGTGAGAAGACCTATAGCTCAGTGAGCCAGGTAGATTGGTGGACCAAGATGTACAAATGGGTGAGCACCTATGTGCGTACGAGTGAAATTTGTTAACGGGTCAGAACCTCAGAAAATGCGTTCCACCGCTTGCTAGTTCACCTGTACTTACTGGGTGTTGGGATTCCATCAGTATGGACTTTGTGTTTGGCCTACCGGAGGATTTTGACGGCTATACTGGTATTATGGTCTGTAGTTGACCGCTTGAGCAAGATGGATCATTTAGCGGGTAGGCCGGACTCTATTGATGGCGAAGGTAAAGCGAAGCTGTTTATCGACCGTGTGTTTCTACAACATGTTTTGCAAATGGCAATTATCTTTGATAGAGATCCTCGCTTCACTGGGAAGTTTATGGAAGTCCATCTTCGAAGTGCTGGGCACCAGGTTGGACTTGTCCACAGCGGATCATCCGCAGACCGATGGCCAAACTGGGCTTTCTCATCGCTTTATTAATGAAATTTTAAGCAGTATTAGCGCTAATACGACAATGTTTGGCGCTCCATGTCCCCGTTGCCGAGTTTGCGGTAAAAACGCTGTTCATGTCTTTACATGCTATGCCAGTTCTACGTAAACGGTCTCAACCACAATCGCGTTCTGTTAACGCTAACATTATGTGGTTCAAGGCTTGGTGGAGGAAAGGTTTCCGATCGGCTTGCTGATATCAGTCTTGCTATTGTTCAAAAACAGGTCGAAAGGTTTCTTGCAACGCTTTTGAATGTCTTAAGACATGTGCTTGACGCAATAACTGAAATACAAGACAAACAAAATCAACAAGCAGATGCTAAAAGCAGAGGTTGTATTGAATATACAAGGTCGTAGACCAAGTATTGTCTAATGCTAAAAACTACTTACAAATGCATTGTCCGCTGTCTTCAAGACTTGGTTGCTTCTACGCTTCATTAAATCATTTACGGTCACTGCCAAGAATGGAGTTGCGTACACGCTGAAACTTCCGCGCTAATTGAGCGCACAAACCCAGTGTTTTAATCCGTTTTACTTTATCCATACCAGGATCCTTCCCATGTGGCCTTGGAGGCGCTTACGCCGACGACGGGGACTGTGCCTCGGATTGATTTAAGCGGATCGGCAAGTCCATCTGATCCTCACTACGAGTTTGGGAATATTCCGTCGCCTGAAGGCGGCTTTGCATCGCATCCAACGCGCAATGAGTCTTCCCCAAGGCCTCTTGAAGACCCTTCACTTCGAGAACCAATTTCTCGTGGGCCTCCACTGGTATACTGGCCGCCACCGACTTTGCTCGATGAGCATGAGTGTCGTCAATTTCATGTCGAGAGACTACTGAAACGACGTCGTCGTCAGGGCCAATACCAGTATCTGGTAAAGTGGCGTGGGTACCCTGAGTCTGAAAACTCATGGGAATTTGAGGCACCCCTTCGGCAAGACTGCCCATATGCTTTGGATGCTTTTGAGCATCGTGGCCATGATCATCCCGAGACCGAGGCCGTTCCCCACAACTAGTGGTGCGGGTTGGCGGGCTGTTGGCCACAGACTAACCAGCACTCGCGGTTACCTTAGTAGCCGAAGCATAGCGCGTGCGCTTGCGCAATTGGCCTCTGGCCTTAAGCTTGGCATAATCATACCGAATCTTGCGTTCGAGACGCACATCCGCCGCGTGAGCACTAGCCCTCAGAGCAAAAATGTTGCTGAGGCGACGCACATAGTGCAACCAGTGAACGAAGGCATCGTCTTCTTCGCTCACTGTTTCGCCTGCGAGCAAGAGAATGGGTATACCCTTGATCGGTGGAACCGGTGCACCACGTGCTTGCATGTCAAGGCGTGCCTTGTATTGACTTTGAGTCGTTAGGTTCGGCTCCAGGTATCTCTCACGAAGTGCCTGGCAGCTCACCACCTCCTCAGGAGTCTTAGGCCCATGGCCAATGACCCACGTTGCCAATGTTTGGCCGGCCGCTTGACGTAGACGTTCCTCCACACTGGGTGGGGTGAACACATAGGCACGCTGGCGTTCATGGGTTGCAGCCATTTGTACATAACGCTGAGCGTTTTCTTCTCTTTGGACAAGCAGTTGTTGTTGCTCATCGAGCGGGTTCGTGATGATTGTCTCATCAGACCCAGATGCTGCATGCTGCGCTGGTGGCGCGCTCGCACCTCCACGTTCAGCGAACGGATTTGGGGTGTTCAAAGGTTGTGCCTCAGGCATCAGTGAGCCGAACATTGTCCCTGTATCACCGCGGACACTGGTATCGCTACCATAGTTCACCTCCTTCTCTATTCCGAGGTAGTCACACAGAGCCTTTGACTCTTTTGGTGATGAGGACATCGTGCTAGAGCGTACGCTACCGTGAGGTTTACCGTACGCGCACTGTTCTCACTGAGAACACAAGTTCGATTGACGTTTTGACAAACGTCAGTCTGGTGGGGGAGAGTGTAACGGGGTTGCACGAAATTATGGTACTTTGTGCCAGAGGTGTTACACACCTGAGGTAACCCATTTGTGAAGGTGATATAGAATATCTTATTGGTTTGTAGGGGCTGACGAGTGTCAGCCATTAGGTACGAAAGATCTTTGGGTAGGATTAAGATATTCTATAGGCTTTAACAAAAATAAAATCAGTCCCCATTTTGATCTGAAGGACACGTGGCTTGCGAGCCGTCTTGATCGTTGATCACTGATCACTAAGAGCTAGCAACACCTCCTTGAGGTAGCTACTCTTGAGCACTGAGTGCTACCGATTCACTGATCGTTAGGTCCCCTGGAACAGGGATCTGAAGCTGTAAAGCTTGTTGACTCGTAAAGTCGTTAGTTCTTTGGAACTAAGTTGCTCGTAGAGCGTTAAGTCTTCCTCTGACTTAAGGAGCTGTGTAGCTCCGCTACACCAGAAGACTGAGCTCTTGAGACAGCAACAGTCTCAGTCTGAATCTAAAGCATCAACGCTCATGCGTCGACGCGAGACTTTGAAGTCAGAAGTCTCCAAGTATCTAGGAGACTAGGGAGGCTCCCTATTGAGATGTTTTCTTAAAGCGGATGATGCCCATATGGCTTGCCACATCGAAGATGAGGAAATGCAAGTTGCAGTTGCCAAATAGAATTTGTCAGGGCGTTCCAGACTTAAGCTTTAAATATTAAAATACATGATCCAAACGTGTTTGGATCGTTGGCAGTCTGTGAGACTCTGGTTGGCCAGACGTTCGAGATGACAAGAGCTAAGTGTATGACTCTTTCAGAGATCTTGAAAATAAAACAATGTAAGCGTGACGTTCACGCTTACATATAGCACGTTCACTACCTTGCAAGTGGAGTGGTAGCGCACCCTTTTAGTGAATTCGTTTTGGTCACTATAGTTTAACATGCCTTATAGATAGAACCCTGAGAAACCACCTGTTCCGCATCGAGTTGAAGTCGCTTGAGGAAGCGATTCTAAATGCGGTACAAGAGGACTTTATTGTGATCTAGGCTCACACTAGCTTGACCTTCTATAGACCTCCGAGACGGTTAGAGGCGAGAAGTTCACAACTATTGGACATCTGCAGTGTTGAAAGCGAAACAACTCTCTCATAGTAGTAAACGATTGCAAAAGTGAAATCGCTGTCAGAAGTTAGGGAATTACGCCTACGAGTGTAGTGCTTTAACGCCCATCGTTTTAAAGCACTGAGCGAAATGATCGATTTTCTGCCAAGAAGAGCAGCGGACGCGGGTTCGACGCTATTTTAAAGTCACAGCAGCGAAGCGGACCGTCAAAATACAGTTAAGGTCAGTAGAGGCGGATTGCCATATTGATCCAGCAACTATAATAGAAATACAACCTCATGATGAAAGTTGCTTTGGACTCAAATTCTTTATGTGTATGTACACTTGGTGGTGAGGTAAACCCTCATCACCTGGATCTTAGAAGTGACAGAAATTTGTCGCCTTTAGCCCTAGTATACTGTTGGGCGTCGACCAAATTTCTTCGTCGCCAGTCACTAGAGGATCGTTGGCTCAAGTTTTTCGAGCGAAATATCCTCCAACGTGGATGACAGTGCTTCTTGCAACGGGCTCATGTATAGCAGTGATGAAACATGTAGTGGTTTTTTTTGACACGTTGGATGACTTGCAGTACAATAATAATTTCATCATACTTGTTTTGGATAACAAATTTGTTGTCATACTTGGTTTACCCTGGCTTAGAAGGTACGAGCCAAGGGTCAGGTGGCAACATCGAACCGTAAAGATGCCTACCACTTGTTCATCTGATGGCAACCTGATCAAAATTTTGGAGCGTCGTCAAGCGTGTGGGTGTATTGCAAGTGAGCGCTATGGCCTCTCTTGCGGTACGGTCGTTAGCACGACTGCACAAAATACAGATTGACAGCGAATAACAATGTGGAGTAAGCTGCCAATGGCTGTGCGGATAAACAGGCAGCGGTGAAGGCCCAACACTCGAATAAATTAAGTGGATCTTGACATGGGTGTAATTAGAGCGGGAAACTTACAACTTAAAACAAACCAATTGCCCACACAGAGCAACATCATGATCCTAGATCGACTGGAGAGTCGATCTTAGAAGACCTAGCTGTGGTAGCGCAACCACTTCTAAAAGATGCCGAGGGAATGAGCCCTTACGTACTTGGGGAAGAAAATTATCAAGTAGTTATTGGTGAGGTAACAAGACCTCACCAACCTAAAGGAATAAATCCCCAGTAGCCTGTGGAAAAGGGTTCTCAGGAAGAAACTAAGACATTGACTGTCTTAATTGATGACGGGTCAAGACTAGGCGCTTATTAACTTGATCTGGTTGATCTTCTGTAGTTTAATTCAGAGATCACTCAGCTGTTAACGCTAGAATTAAATCGGTTCTTGCGAGATCTGCATTGTGGCAATGTCAAGCAAATCTGTGTAATCGTCAAACGGAGGACGAGTACGTGGCCAGCATTCGTTCGGGAGCAGTATTTGCAAAGAATGAACGGATTATCAGCAACTAATCGATATAACAAAGTGAACTGAATTCTAAATTTCAAATTGAGCGATACCTGTCTTAATTTCGGGATTACCTTCCGGCCCATCTTTTGCATAAGGATTTGATCAAAATAAAGGACGTATTACCGAAACCCGTACCATGCAAATTTTTACGAATAAAGGCACTGCACATGAAATGAAGCTCAAAACGGGCTCGAAGTACTGTGTCATGGAGGATTTGCCACTGCCTCGTGAACAAGGTCTTGCGATCGACAAGTTCTTTGCCGATCGCTTAGCTGCGGGTCATGTGAAGATTGAAATTTCTCCTCAAAGCATTCCAACCTTCTTTGTTTGCTTGCACACTTAAACAAGTTAAATGCTGCAACGGTACCGGATCAGACGCCGATACCGAGGAAGGACGTCATCATTGATGGTATGTCAAAGATTACTATCTATCAGTCCATTAATTTGATGGATGGCTTCTATTAAATCCAAATGCGTGAACGGGACATCCCGTACACGGCATTAAGCACCCCAAAAGGTGTTCCATAGGAGTGGCGAGTAGTGCCACACGGACTGAGTAACGCTTCTGTTTCATGTAATAGATGTGTAACAAATATGTTGAGACCATTGCAAGGTTTCGCATCAAATTACTACAACGATGTATCTGTCCATAGCCGGGACATGGATGGAAAGACGGACTTAGAGGTTCATAAAACGCACAATCGTTGGGTTCTCACGATTCTTTTCAAGCATGGAGGTATAGAAACCTCAAGCTGTGTACATCTGTTGCTAACTAAATGCCACTTTTTAAGTTTCAAAATTTAAACCTAAGTGTTTTACTTTATAAGTAAAATCAATTTTATTACCGAGAAAGAGGGTGTTTCGACCTAACTAAAGAATCAAAAGGCTCTTACTATAATTATGTAAAAAATAATATTTTTGATGCTTTAAAAAAGCTAAATGAGAATTTAGTTAATCTGCATCGTGGGTAAACATGGCATACGTCTTTATCCAGAAACGACCCCTTTAATCGAGAAACGATAAGGCGATTACCGACTGGCTTGTGCCAGTTGACGTCAAAGAACTCAATAGTGCTAGGTGCTAGCGGCTTTATTGCGTAACTAGGTCGAGATGACTATTAATCACTTTCATCGTAAAAATAAGTGGTCGTGGGACGCTGACTGTCAGCGTTTCATTAACGGTATTTAGCGGAGCTTGATTGAATTCTACATCCTGGGGATTTCACACCAAGACAGACCATTCCATGTAGTGTGTGACGCCAGCAATTTTGAAAATGGCTGCGCGTTAACGCAGTACGATGCAGACGACCAAGAGCGCGTCTTCAACAATCAATCGCGTCAGCTGCAAGCAGCTGAGCGTAATTACCCATTGCATGACAATAGAAATTCGCCGTGAAGTATGCGCTAGCAAAATTTTGCGTCTAACCCGTTAGAGTGGGATTGATACCACTATTGCAATACTATTTACTAGCG